CCCAAACTTCTGGAATAACGGACATTACTGTAAACATTATGACTTTTGGGAGATTTCTCCTTTAAGACAGATGGATGTTTGGACGTTGCTTTATATCAGACAGGTGATGAGACACATTCGATTTTTCATGTTTTACATTTAATGTGGAGAATCAGATCAGCTGTCAGTCTGTCACCAAGAGTTGCGAAATCTGACACCTGCGCTGCTCGATTACACATACATAAGGTGTGTGTGTGTGTGTGTGTGTGTGTGTGTGTTCTGTCTGCTGATCGTCTGAAGAGATGTGAGAACAGAAAGGAAAAACAGAAAACTGTAATTGAGGTCAGGGACAGAGACACGTGAGCAGAAGCTGTGATTTATGTTTTATTTGTTCTGCCAAGGAGACAGTAAAGAGTGAGATAACGTTGACATAGATCTCTACAGTGTGAATGCATTGCTATTCGCTATTATTACTGAATTGGAGCCCGTTTATGAGGGCAAAATAAGTTTATTAGTTCCACCTTGCTAAAAGTAATGAAGTCTCATAATAAAGGAGACAAATCATCCTGCATTTATAGAACATTCTATATAATGTGTGGATCTTTATACGTGGATCTTTACTTTTCTTTTATACCTCGTCTAATTTTTGAAAATATTTCGTTCATACGATTTTGTTTTCTAGTTCAGGTTTTCTTGTTTTCTGATATATCTTAATATTATATATTTTTTTAAATGGCAAAGTAGTACATTAAGCTGAACAAATAAATGAATCAACGTTGACTTCTCGTTTCACACGAGGCACGACCAGCGGAGGAAGAGGTGTTTCTGTTTGACACGCAATGTCTGGGTTTCTGCAGTTGAAACACTTCCTGGTTCAGGATTACGCGGACTACATGCAATTTTTGCGGGATGTTTACAAATAACAGCACAATCATTTTGTAAGTATAGCTACAAAGGTCGTATGAGAACATCCTCAATTATATGGCGATAATGCCAAATGTTCCGGTCTTCAAAGTCAGCCACTAAGAGTAATTCAAAATGATTTCACGCATCAACAACAGCCTAGTTTTATTACTTCACTTGATGCTCTGCAACCGTGAGAGCACACTTCCTGTCCTGTCAGTGAAAGAGACAAACTGAAGTGAAAGAGTGAAACAAAAAGAGCAAAAGGAGTGGAATTAAAGGAGAGGAGAAAAGGGTGATTGAAAGGCAATTTAAGGTGGAAAGACAGTTAAACTGCAAACAGGATTGTTAAGACCGCGGAGTGCAAAGGGTCGACAGAGAGACATTGAGACAGAGAAGTGGAGAGAGAGAGAATTAACCTGCAATCAGGCCTCTATTTAGCTGCAGTCAGCCACAATCGGCTGCCATATTAGCATTTAATTAGACTGAGAGCCACAAACCGCAGCCTGCCGCTCCGCTCTGATTACCACACACACTACTTTCATATGTGTGTTTGTGTGTGTGTGTGTGTGTGTGTGTGTGTGTGTGTCTAGGGACTTGTGTAGGTTCAGCTGAACCCAGAATCCTACATGTGTGTGTCGAGTGAGAGCTATATCTGTGAATGCATGAGTGTTCATCCTGGTGTGTTTGTGTTAGCGTGAGGCTCGGTATTCACGTGTTACGTACACACTGGTGTACAACTGTGTGTTGTTCAGGGACGTCCAGAGGAACAAGAGAGCGTCGGGCGGGTTGAAATCTGTCCCCAGGGGTACAGAAAGTGATTCACACCTTCATACAGGTGATGTTCCCAGCATGCCGCCCTTCATCAGGCTGGTTTTTTTTTTGGTTAGCGTCAGTAAACACACACAGCAGGCCGGTGATGATGTCAATGAGCTTTGGAGAGGCAATCTTTCTCTGTGTGTGTGTTTCCTAATAATTGTGTGCTCTGAGGAACTTTTAACTGGTCTCAGTTTAATACTGAAGCATCTATACGATCTTCATAAGTAAACGAGACCATCAGATAGGTCGGTAGTCATTCTTGATGCTCGTAATCGGTGCCACCGGGTCCCGCCTACACCGAGGGCGATTCAAAACGAACCATGCAGTGGAAAAGGGGGATAAAGGCCTTTTCACACCGGGGAGTTGGAGATTTAACGACTCGAAAATGCGAATTACCTCCCTGTGAATATTATAGGTCTAGGGCTTTTATTGTGAAAGGAAGGAGTAGATCTGGTCTGCGCTGCCTTCGATGAGGTTGAAAGGCGTAGTAACGTTTGCCGTCTTCGTTCGCCCTTCTTTGTTGTTGTTTCATAATCAGAAGAGCAACTCAAGCCGTTCTGCACATGATCTGATTCAACCAAAAATTGGGTAAAAACTGCTGGCGCCGTGTGATTATGAATGTCACTGAGAACCTGATATGAAGAGGGCAGAAGAGAGTACCGGCAGCTTGTAAGATGACAAAAGTCAAAGCATGCCAAAGACTCCCAGGGCACCGGAGAAAGGACAAGTCGTATACAAATCTGTGAAAGCTGAAGGTTATGGAGTTGTTGACCTGTGGTTTAGGAGCACCTTAACTCTGAGGACATTGACTCAATGTTTGGGGGGGATTAGCTCTACTGGCACAGGTATGATATTGACTTTAACCCGGGTGATTAAGGGCGATCTTAGTTGACTGCACAGCAGTTATCTGTGATTGTTACAGGGCACACGCCCCTGTAAGACCACAGGACAAATACCGTGTTCACTCACGGAAATAAGTCGATTCCACTGTCTGAAAAACAGCCGTTTCTCCTCTTAAATTCTTCATTCTTCCAGCTCGGATGTCTTACTGAGAATTGGACTGAACAAAAGCAATTAGTTGCCCATATTTGTTTTGTGTTGCTGAGAAGCAGCACGTGTAAAAGGTGCACAAGATGTTTCCAGGGAATGAGCTGCCCCTCTCAGAGCTTTGAGTGGAACGGTTTGGTTATTTTCAAGTGTTTTGATTGAAAATGATTTGCTGTGTAAATAAATCTGTGTTTTCAGCCAAGCAGAATATTTGGTGGAGTCCCAGCTGTTCCAACAAGGTCCGACTGTGTGAAAGAAAAATCACGAGATTACTGCTGACCGTGCTGCGGCCGTTTGTTCTCTCTTGTGTGTTTTTACATCGTTATTATGGAATTGTTGGTGATGCAGATTTGCTATATACCAGAGTTTGACTGTTCGGGGGCACGGGGCAATAGTTTGCTGTTGGGCCAAACCTCCCATCTACCCAATGTGTATATCACCTGCAGCCTTCAAGTTCCTGTTAAATCCAGTGCAACCAGTACTTCTAGGCTGGAATAATACTTTAAATTCATCGTGACGTCCCCTTCTGGTTTGTGGTTGTGAATGATCAATTTGGCGCCATCTTAGATTATGGGTGTCGTCGTCTTGGCTTTTTTGCAACCGATGAACGGAAGTTACCATATTTAAAATGGAGAGGAGTGACGTAGAGACGCTGTGTACAGCTCTAGTCGTGGCAGCGACCTGTCAATCACAGTAAGCCCCGCCCTAAAGCATCCCCTGCTTTATGGTCTGTTTGACTCTAAATGGACCTTAAGTTACTAAATGAACATCATGCTGTAGTGAAGAAGACTTGAAACTAGAGATTGAGACCATAAACTCATGTTTACAATGTTTACTGAGGTAATAAATCAAGAGAGAAGTAGAGTCATTTTCTCATAGACTTCTATACAACCAGAGGAGTCGCCCCCTGGTGGACATTAGAGAGAATGCAAGTCTGAAGACACAGCAGCATTGATTTCACTCAGCAGAACCGGAGGTTTCCGTTTATCGAATTCAAGGCTTGAAACCGGCAGTCCACAAACTAATGGGTGACGTCCCGATGACTACGTCCACTTCTTATGAGATGAAAGCAACGAGGGAAAGTTTGTGACTTGGCTGCAATGTTGAAAACAGTCGAGCCAAAACCAACCAACGGCCACCGGCCGAAGCAATTTTACAGCTAATCTATACAATTAAATATGTTTCTGAAACCTTTGAGGCGAGAAGAAGGGAACGCAGTAAAATAATCTTGACTCTTATTTGATCAACGCTGCTAAATTTGACAATTTGATCAGAGTACACGAGCTGATTGACAGCTTCGTTAGAGACTACTCAACTCTGATTGGTCGTTTCTCTTCCAAATGCCATTAGGAGCTCACAGATGATCTACCTTGGGTACTACTGTCGGAATAAATTGACAGTTTGAGCAAATGTGACCAAAAATATGTTGTAGTAAAGTTACCATCTGTAGCTTTAAGAGTAAAAACCTGCATGTACACATTCCTGTCAAACATTTTTCCAGAGGTCCTTTTTATAAACATGCTGTAAACTTTTCTCTTTTACTTTAATCGTAACGGAAGAGACAATCCAGTACTGCACGTTTTTTTCCCAGACAGTATTAGTGACATGAAATCCGAAGTAATGTAATGTAGCAATAATACCAGTTCAGAGCAAAATGAATTACATCATCTGATGCACCCGATTGGAGGAAATACTTGATCCTACCGGCAATCTCATCATGGGGAACCTGACATAACCACACAGGTGTGTACAGGCTCTGTCTCACACACACACACACACACACACACGTGCCTGCACACACACATACACGACACATACCAAAAACATATAAATCTTAGTTTCAGTTTTAACTGATTCATCTGATTAAATAATAATAAACAAGTCGTTGCATTTTAGGAGCCGGACCAAGAAGATGTTTGGTATGTTTGCTTAATGAGTGACTGGAAGGGCTGAAACGATTCCCCGGGTGTCACGGATTGAATTGAACAACATATCCGAGGTTGAGAGCTGAAGGAGAGCTAGTAAACGTTAGCTTGTGACGTTAGCCGGTGGGCAGCACGGTCCGTTAACTGAGCACATGTTGAACGAAAACTACAATGAAAAAGACTGTCCTCTGACAGATTTACAAAACACTCAACCCCAGTTTTCCTGCAGACAGGTGACAAATAACTCGTGCCTTTGTGTACTATGTTTTATGTATGACTCCATCAATCTCACTGTGTGTGTGTGTGTGTGCGTGTGTCACCACTCACCCCCGTCATCCTCGTCGAAGGAGTTCATGCAGGGGAAGTAGATGGCGAGGGCCTCGAAGGACGCCGACAGGCTGATGCGGCTCTGCGACCGCTCCATGTAGAGGCCCGCCGGCGGGCCCGGGTCGGCCGGCTTGGCCAAGCGCGGCTGGGCATTCTTCACGCGGAGTACGGCTCGCGGCGTCTTGGACGGCTGTCAGCTGCCCCCCACGGCAGATCCACCTCACCCCGGAAAAAAAAGAAAAAGAGTCAAGCAAGAACCCTCCCAAAAGAGGCTCGCACCGGAAGGAAAAGAAGAAATCGGTGCAAAAACGTACTTGGCGGAAGAAGTTGAGGTAAAAAAACAGCAAATGATTTTGATGTTTCTTTGCACGTTTAGGCGAAATGCAACCTCCAGTGATGCAAATACATCCTTCTTTGAGTGCGATATCTCTGTCGGTTGTTGATGAGGTTGAGTGTTCTGATAAATGATATCTTTCTTTTAAATGTTTTTGTTATTTAACTGAGCATCTATCTGTGCGTAGAAGAGATGCAACTCTGGCATCCTGTCATTTGTTCTCTACTTTTTGGATTCTTGTTTTGCTTCCGTTCTCAGGAAGGTGCCGGTGCACCTCCCATCCGGTCCCTCGTTGTCCTCAGAAGTCCAAGTGATGGTCTGAAGGACTTATGGACGTCTCACCTGCCTCCTCACACTGATAAGAACCCGATCTTGCTCTTTTTCCGCCTCACAGCAAAACTCCCTGAACTCTGGATGTCAGTCTGACATCCTCCCCCTATTTGTGCATTCTACAGCTCGCGTGCCAGTTCTTCCTCTTCTTCAATGAAAGACCAGGAGGATGGGAGGAGACGCTGGTGGTAGGCGGCGACGTTGACGAAACGTGTTGCTTTCCGACTGAATCAAAGCTCTCTGTTTCTGTCGCTCATCGTTTCCTCGCCGGAGCTCAAAGCATTTCTTATTTCGCATGGACGAAACTGACTTTCAAAAAAACAACAGGAGGCATCAGCTGCGGGAGCTGCTGCTACACATCTGCTTCGCTTCCGAAGCCCAGAAGAGAGCATCAGTTGCAGCAACAATTGCAACTGGGGGCAATCTGTTGCTTCTGCGTTGATTCGAGCTGCACTACAGTTGACTGTTGTGCCGCTCTTAATGTTGCTTGTCCTCTTCCCCTCCGCCTTGTTGCTCCCGCTCCTGTGCCGATGCTCCACCGACTGTCTGCTCCTGAGACTTGAAAGGACAGAGAGAGAGAGAGAGAGAGAGAGAGGGAGAGAGAGAGAGATGATGAGAGAGATGATGAGAGAGAGAGAGGCTGTTCTGTTGAACAGCTTGTGTCTGACTGGATTCATTCACTGCTGCGCTGCATGTAGAGTGAGAGAGAGAGAGAGAGAGAGAGAAGGGGGAAACAGAGGGGATGGAGAGCAGACTGTTGCTGGCAGCTCGGCCAATTGAAATGTGGATGAGGGAATATGGGCGTGGCTTTGGGACAGTGGAGGCAATGCAGGGCAGGACAAGTTTAAAATGTCTCTCTCTCTCTCTCTCATTGACTACGTTTCCACGCACACTGATAATTCACTATTATTCTGAATTTGATGTGGTTCATGTAAACATCATATTCTGTTTGGATATTTCATTTTCTGACTAAGACGTGGGATATGCCGATATTATTCTGGTTTTAGGAGCATTCTTTGGACATGTACACAGCTCATTACAAATATGCGTCTCAATTGGGTTTTTTACGGCACTTTTCGACACACGGCCGGTGTCCTGTTTACCACCAGCTCTGTTTGTACACAAACCAGCTAGGCAACAGTTTACAAAGCTGGAGTAGAGACGCATGTCCACGAGAAAAGCTGACATTTCTGGTTGGAAGGAGAAGCCCACCTATTTTTAAACATAATGAAGGAGTTGATAACAGTATTTTGGATATGAGCAGACATCATAACACCGACCTTTTCGGGAGGGAATGAAAGAGGGAGGCCGTGTTCACACGGTCGAACAAGTTCGCAACCTGTGGAGAACTTTGAATAAACATATTTTGACGTAAATAGGCGAAAAGACGCAAGCGCCTCCTGCCGTTTTCAACCCTAACCCATATTCTGACGATAAACGACACGTTAGGGTGTCGTTTTACGTTCATCGGAATATGAGTGGCTGCTTGTAAACGGGAATATTAGAGGAATATTCATTTTATTAGCCACGTAAACAGCTTATTAGGAATATTGTCTTTTGCGGAACATGGGCCAAAAACTGAATACCTGGTGCACGTAGACGTTGTCTCTGTGTCTCTCGATATCAGCGGTCACCAACCTTTTCCAAGCAAAGATCATCAGAAATAAATGAATCAAAGCCAGAGAGAAAGAGAAGTGTTCACATGATGAACGAAACCTTTCTCTTCATTAGTTTGAAGCTGAATAGTTGGACACTTGGTCATGCACTACCAACTCTGACCGCCTTAACACCGTCACAGCAGGAGGACAAACCAGCTCTTTATGTCCACAGTGAAAGCAAAAGTCTCTGACAGTGAAGCTGCAATCACTGCAGTTTTACTTGTAAAGGATTGACGGATTGGTCATCATCGACCGGTTGACGACTCCTCTGTAGAATAATTTTATCTTTCATGAGTGTCTGACTTTGTTCTCTCTCTCTCTCTCTCTCACCATTTATTCTCAACCGCTTCCCTTTTTCTCACCTCCTCTTTCCTTCCTCCCCTTGTGTCTCTGTGATGTGCACACTCTCTCTCTGTTCTTCTACATCTTGTTTTCTTGTGAGGCAGAGAGCGAAGGAGGGAGGAGTGGTGTTCTGTGTAATCAACGGCTCTTCACAGGGCTCCATTCGTCTCTCTGCTTCCATCGATGGGAGCCATAGGGGACACGCAAGCACACGACACTCAAAACAAACACAACTCAATGTATGGTAAAGGCTACCTTATATACTGTGCTAACACACGTGTAACAAGGATAAAGCACTGTATGCATGGAACTAGTAGTAGGGACTTTGTGAATCCGTCATGTCCGTAAATAAATTGCAAATTGCCAAATTCAGAGCTCACGTTATAAAATGTAGTCCTGTGTGAATGCCGGAGTGGTCGTAATTATTTATTTTACGAGCATCGTCTTCACTCGCCGAGTGAAGACGATGCGGAAGTGTCTTAAAACCTGCGTTCTCTGTACTGACCAGCAGGGGGCGACTCCTCTGGTTGCAGATAGAAGTCTGATTGTAAGTCTATGAGAAAATGACTCTACTTCTCTCTTGATTTATTACCTCAGTAAACATTGTAAACATGAGTTTATGGTCTCAATCTCTAGTTTCAAGTCTTCTTCAATACAGCATGATGTTCATTTTGTACATTATGGTCCATTTAGAGTCAAACAGACCATAAAGCAGGGGATGCTTTAGGGCAGGACTACAGTGATTGACAGGTAGCTTAACAGAGACGTATACGGCGTCTCTACATCACTCCTCCGCAGTCCAAATATGGTCACTTCTGTTCATTGGTTGCAAAAAACAACAACACGGCGACGGCCGTAGTCCAAGATGGCGACGGCAAAGTCGCCGAACTCAAGGTTTCAAAACGTCAGTCCACAAACCGATGGGGGACGTCACGATAACTACGTCCACTTCTTATATACAGTCTGTGGTATTAAGTAATAAACCAAGGTACTGGAAGAATCAGGAAACCGTCTGTAGGAATCATCTTCTATCTATCATGAATGTCCGTACAAATGTTTGTGCCAATCCATCCTGTAAATGTGGAACTATTTCAGTCACAATGTTGACTGGCGGACAGCCATCCACAGAGCCGCGCTGCGACCGTGGAGAAAGAATGTCTCTGTTACTTTGCACTAAAACCAGAAAAGCCAAAGCCGATGTTAACAATTTATTGATTTAACAATATGTTGATTTAGAGGAAAAGGAAATGCTGTCAGCATTGTTCTATTCAACCTGCAAGATGTTTTGTGTGGCCATCGGGAACATAAGTTAGTGACTCAATTGTTCTGAGAGGACAGTTTCTGTAAAAAAGGATCTCATCTTCCTCTTTGTCCCCCTGCCTTCAATCTCTGCTTGCTACCCATCACAATAACAATCCTGCTTTGTCAGACTGAATCATGATTCAATTATTTTTTGCAATAGTACAAGCTATGACGCACAATACTACGTCGCAGAGGCGTCACCACTGTCATTGTCAGCTCACATTTTGTACATTCAGCAAATACAAAAAGATTTCTCTTCAAAGTTAGAATTTTCAGCAGCAAATGAATCCTGTAATTGGTGATGAACAACCTTATCAACCCCGCGCAGACATATAATAATCCCCTGCAGTAAAACAGTGAAACATTTAGCCGCTGGCCTTTTATTTTTTACATGGTGTATTCGGAGTCCCATGTTTTGTGTAACTTGCAGTCAGCAGCCTGCTTCTTTACACAGCGATGCTTCCGTCCTTGTGTGCTCTGCTGAGTGCACCGTGACCAGTGAAGTGCACTGGCCTCGTGTTGACAAGCCTTCGCCTGCTCGCTGCGAGCACGCTGTCCAAGCAAGCCTTATCGCGGGAGCATTGACCTTTTACAACAAGTACCTGCTTCAGTCTCTGTCTCCGCCTTTTTCATGTCACCACCGCCTGTCTCTCTGCCTCTCTTTTCCCTCCATCTGCTCCCCTGTCAGACTATCTGTCTTCTGTTTTTGCATCGCCATTTGCCGTCATCAGCAGTCTGCTTGCGTTTCCTTTCCATTTAATTAAAAAAAATAAAAAATGTTTTCCTCTAAACATGAATCTGTCCATTATTTTAACAGTTCAGTATGTTTATGCATGGCAGTGGTACTAATAGGCCATCACTCATTTTTCGTTTCCACATTTAAAATTAAAACGTCAATTTGAATAGCTTGTATGCCTGATTATCATGCAATGAACAGACAATGTTGATATTGGCATTGGTATCAGCTGACAAGGTATGTTTATAAATGTCAGTGGCACGGCCTATACTCACTGTGCCTTGCACATGTTTAAAATAAAAACATGAATATATGAACCTGTGTATTATTTGAATAGCTTAGTATTGAATGCACAATAAAGAGGTATACACAGCACTAGGCCCATTTAATATAAAACACATTTTTATGCAATATATATAGTCGGGGGTCCCTGCTCCATCTCTCTATCAGTTTGGGGGTCCTTGGCCTGAAAAACCTTGAAGACCCCTGCCAGTCCGTCTACTGTTTGCCCCTTATTTGTCCTTCTGAATCTGATTTCTTGTCCGTTAGCCTTTGTTTCTACCAGGCGGCAACCTCCGGTTCTGGAAAGTGAAGCCAATGCAGAAGTGTCTTAAACTTGCATTCTTTCTAATGTCCATCAGGGGGCGACTCCTCTGGTTGTATAGAAGTCTATGAGAAAATGACAGAAATTGTAAAATAGTTGTTTCTGTGCCAGGCTTTACGGTGGTGTAGCCGCTAGCACTGGCACATCACTTTACACATTAAGATGCTCCCCCTGTCATCACTGACTTCCTGCCGTTGTTGAATCAGGAAATAAATCCTGTAGCCGTCTGTGTTCACCCAGAGCTCTACGGTACCTCATATCAATAGAGACCGGACCAAACTATGTGTATAAATGTGTGTGTGTAAACCATATGGTACAAACAATGAATAGACGCTGCCGTGTTTACGTCTCGATGACGTTATTCTGACTGTTGGTGGAGCTGCTACAATGTTAGCATAGCCTAGCACCGATCCATCCGCTCCATTGAGAAGACAGGTAGCCTACAAATCGGCATCATTACGTAGTTATTTCGGAGTCCTTTTTTGTCGGTTTATTGCCGTTAAATCACAGCCAAATCAGTTTATTTTGTGTTCATACAGCTGTAGTAAACAGCGACCTGTGGCTTGCTAGACACAGTGAATACACCTCGATAAAATCCACGGAGCTCCTCTGGACAATATTATGAACCCAGACATGACGGCGTTTAGTTTCCCGGGATATCTGTGACTTCCACAACACGTACTAAGCAGAAATAGAAGTTATTTTTTTCATGGTTAATGGCGGACAGTTGAACGGCTTTCAGGGCGATAAGCCACGCCCCCTCTCTGGCGCGTCCGGCGCGATTCACGCGAATGAACACTTGGTCTCCGGCATTTTGACCGGCAGCGCGATGGACGCGAATATGCGGAGCGATGAATTCGCGACGCGTTTGGTGTGAACGCAGCATTAGTCATTTCATGTATTTCTGTGAGATCATGAAATTGGCCTTTCACTCCCCCTGCCGGAGCTCAGCCTGCCAGCTGCTGTCAATCACGCACAGGCGCACACAGAGGAGCATGATTGAACATTCACTTTAAATAATAAAAAGACTATTAACAATACA